GGAGATGGAACCTTTTTTAGTTCGTGATATGATCGATGATACCAATGAGTTGCTTTCTACGTTGGCAATTCAAAAGGGATTGGAGTTGAGCTTTATTGTTGAAGAGAATGTTCCTGAGGTTGTTTGCGGTGATAGAATAAGATTACGTCAAGTATTATTGAATATTATTGGCGTATGTATTCAATATTACATATTTATTATTGAGTTGATGATTGTTTTTTTTATCGAAAATTAAAAAAAAAATTTATTTTAAATGAATCAATAGAACGCGATCAAATTTACATCAAAAGGCGAAGTTTTTTCTAGATGTTCAGTAGAGTCGTTTTCAAAAACCGATGATGGTAAAAATGAAGTGATGTTATTGTTCGAAGTTATTGATACTGGCGAGGGTTTTGATGCTATGGCAGAAGCAGTTATGTTTAAACCATTTTCGCAAGTTGATACTTCGTCAACTCGAAAACATGATGGTAGTGGATTAGGTTTAGTGATATCGATGCAACTTGTTGAGTTACATGGCGGCAAATTATACTGTAAGAGTCAAAAGGGTGTTGGCTCAGCCTTTTACTTTACTGCAAAATTTACAATACCACCTGACTCGACCATGCCACGTCCACAAACCCCAACATCCGAAGTATCAAATTCACCATTTTTCCGCTGTAGTAAGGTTTCAGTCCAAGTCTCATCTAAACATAGTTCGGACAGCATAATTACGCCACCCTCATCAGGAAATTCTTTACCATCATTTAATAATATCGTTAATGGTTGTAATAATCGTGGAATAGGAAAGAATATAATACCATCTAATTCATCATCGCCATTAATACAAATTCCTAAAAATAATATTGCATTGCCTATAAATATGGCCGATAATACTAATTGTACTACTACTAATAATAATGATTTTACCACCGTTGCTCCATTAACATCATCGAATGCATTAAAGCTTGTTAAGCCAACAACAATTGATTTACCTCGTACTAAATGTGTGCTTATTGTTGCCGACTTATCAAATTCTCGTAAAGCCATAGTTCATTATGTTTGTTCGATTCTTCCAAAAACACCTGTACCCGAGATTGACATTGCTAATGATTACGCCGAAGCTTATGAAAAAATCAGCAATTTAAAATTTTATTCGCACATTTTGATAAATTTAGTTTCACAATCACACGTGATCTCACTTGCATCAACCATCAAACATTCAAATCACTTATCACTAACAGCGACTGTGATCTTAACTACACAGATACAACGTGCTGGTATAGTTGAAGGGGCACAAGGTGAATTTCCAGAACATGTTGATTTTATTTTCAAGCCATTGAACAGGAGTAAAATGGAGGGGTTGTTTGATGATACGACCACTTTCAGAGATAGTTTCTTGAAGAGAAGAAACACACATAAGGTTGTTGCTAGTCAAAAAGAAGTTTTTTCAAAGAATGGCTGAAGATGTTGGCGATCGAGGATATAAAGTTTTATTGGTAGAAGACAATTTTGTAAATCAAAAAGGTTGTTTTCTTCATCCAAACATTCAAACATTAAGATTTTTCAATTATCACATTTATTTTCTTATTTATTTATAATTTATTTATTTTTTTAATAGTTATAACAAAATATCTTACAAAGGTAGGATTAGAAGTAACTGTAGCTGTTAATGGTGATCAATGTTTAGAACAATTTTTTTCGCATCCTCATAATTATTTTTCTTTTATTTTGGTAAGAAATTTTAATTTTGTTTTATATCTCAATTATATTGTTGTTATGTGGGTTTTTATTAATTCAATTTTAATATATTGTTTATTTAAAAAGTGTGATCTGTTTATGCCCAAAAAAGGTACGTATAAATAGATCATGTGATTAAAATAATTGCATAATTTTAACTCTATTTATTAATAAATAATAAATAGATGGTTATGAAACAACGATCGAGATTAGAAAATGGGAAGCTGAAAATTTAAAAGATTTAGATGACGACACACCAATCCCAATAATAGCATTGTCAGCAAATGTAATGTCCGATGTTGTTTCAAGATGCTTAAAAGTAGGATTTACAGATTATGTCAGCAAACCTGTAAATTTTGCAATTCTAAGTAATGTAATAAGAAGCATATTGAAACTTGATAACAAAAATGTAACAACTAAATAACGAAAATAGAGGTGAAAGTGATGAACCTTTTGTTGTTGTAATTAATTTTTTTGCATACACTTTACGCGCAAGAAATCTCACCTTTTTTTTACTACATATTTTTACAAACATACCTAATTATTATAATCATTTTATTATAAATATATTTATCGTTTTGTGTTTTTATAACACTAACATATATTATTATTATAAAATCATTACATGCATCCAACATCATATACACGTCATACAAACGCATTAAAAAAGGTTCCATCTCCAATTTCATCATCCCTGCTTCCACCTTACTCAAATCCAATATATCATTTATCACTAATAATAAAGCGTCTGCTGATTGTTGTATGGTATGTGCATAATCCATTTGTTCTGTTGTTAAATTGGTTGCCAGCATAAAATTTATCATGCCAGTAATACCTATAAGTGGTGTTCGAATTTCTTGATTTTTTTGTAAATTAAAAATTTTTTTGATAATTAATTAAATATAAATTAGTTATTTGCAATTATTTTTATTATACCTATATAGAATATTTACCGTGAGACATATTAGACAAGAATTGAGTTTTGCTTTCAGTTGATTTTTTAGCTGCATCATGAGCTTCTTGAAGTTTCTGTTCAACCAATTTATGATCATTGATGTCAGTACAAGTGCCAAACCATATTCTACCTTGTTCGGATACTTCTACACTAATACACTTAACCAAAAACCATCTGTATTCACCTTCTGCGTTCATCAAGCGAACTTCAGTGGTGTATGAAAGACCAATCTCATCTAGTGCATCCTTCACCTCTGGCAAACAACAATGCACTCTATCCTCTGGAAAAACATGTGACAGAAATCCTAGATTCTTTGCCTGTTCATCTGTCTGACCAGAATAAGCAATCCATTTCTTATTGACATAATTGATACCTTCTTTAGGTGTTGCAGTGAAAACTATTTGTGGTATAGCATCAGCCAACAAACGATACTTTTTCTCATTAGCCTCGATGTGTATCTGACGACTTTGTAGTTTCTCGGATAATTTTTGATCGTGCACATCGGTACAAGTTCCAAACCAACGAATGTTGACACCTCTAGCATCTCTTAACGGACCAGCACGACCCAAGAACCAGCGATACTGTCCATCGAATCTACGTATACGATACTCGGCACTAGAGCCTTCACCTCTTGAAAATGTTCTATTCCACATTTCCCATACCGACGATCTATCGTCTTGATGTACCACCTCTATCCAACCATGACCTAGCAAACTATCGATACGCTTACCAGTATATTTCAACAGTCGCATATTAACCCATGTACAATCACCTGTTCCAGGTGTAAGAGTATAAACAACATTTGGCGTCAGATCAACAATCATACGAAGCATCTTTGTGTTAGGTATTATTAAATGTGGGATCTTATTATTTTTATTAGATGACGATGGTGACGATGAATATTTTATATTACTGCTATTACAACGTTTGTTATTATTCTTGTTGTTATTGTCATTGTTGTGATTGACGTCGTCACAGCATGTTATAGATGAGTCCTTACCATCACAATCTTTATTAATATTTTTATTTTTTGTGGCAAAATTTGCGTCCGAGAAATTTCTTGAGGAACTACGTCTCCTACGTTTTTTATTGCATTTATAATCATTAGAATAATAAGTTGGTAATGAAGCCCCACGAGAAATTTTAAATTTGTTAGAGGGACTGTTTTTGATGTTTTCATTAATAATATCATTCCTTGAACCATCATTTTCAGTTGATGGTGATTTGCCCAAATTTGTTGGCGAAGCTGAATAGTCATAATTCGTAACATTTGTATTATTAATTACGCTTTGATTATAATTGTCATTATCAACACCTGATTGATTATCATGGTTCATTAAAGTATCAATTTTATCGTTATAAACATTTTCATCGTCCCTAACATTATTGCCATTATTAATATTTCCGTCCAAGTCAATATGATCATAATCAGTCATTGAAAAAATGGTGGCATATTCCCATTTAGATGAAGAAGAATCACTATCTGATGCAGATAAAGACGAGAAACTACAAGAGTCTTCTTCAACATCAACACCATCTTTTTCTTTTGAGTCGATATTAGTTGAATTGGTTAAACTGGGTAAATTGAAATGTTGGCTATTGTTACAACGACTATGATGACGATTATGGCTTTTATTGTCATGATTATGATTAAGATGTTGGTAATCACGCAATGAAGAAGCATAGGATGATAATTGTTTAGTGGATTGTTGATAAATCATTGAAGTCGATAGAGTAGTTGCTAAAAAAGGAGCCAGAGATCTAAGAGATTTCAAAAGAATTGAAGGGAATGGAACAATAGGAGATAGGAACGAGAGTATTGCGATTGGAACTGGGGAATGGATTGTATTTGAAGAGGGATGACTTTTTGCGGTGGTTGGATGAATAAGAGGAATGTGCACAATGGAATAGATGTTGTTGTTTTTTAAAAAAGTAGATTGACAAATTGTAGCAGAGTGCGAGGAAGATGGCGATGAAGACGATGAAGAAGGATCAAATGCATCTTCGTCAATTTCTGGTATCGTTTGAAAAAAAGGATTGGTATTTAGTTCTGATGTGATAATAGGTGAAGGCGCAGGCGATTGAGACCAAGGAGAAGGTTCTTGCTGTTCAAATTCTTCGTATTCAGATATAATATTATTATTATTAACAATAAAATCACCAGTCTTAAAATTGTCATTAATGTTGTTGATGTTGTTATTATGTATACCACATTTATCTAATGCTTGATTAATACGAAAATAGCTACCGTTCCCTTCTTCTAAATCATTTAAACAAGGCGTATCTAATACGGTTGATTTATTATTATTGTTAATTTTAGTGTTAGACATATTAGTAGATGATGATAATTGTGATGATGGTGATGATGATAATGCGTGAATATCTAAATTAATATTATTTGTATTGTTGTAACATTTACAATTTAGTTCTGATGTACCATTTTTTAAGTCGTGATGAATATTATTTTCATGCAATTTCTTATTTTCTATATTATTGTTATTATTATAATTATTACTACTATTATCATTGTTATTGTTGTTATTATTATTTATCTTATTTTTATTATTGTTTTTTTCATTATGTTGAATTCTATATTCTCTTGATAAAACAACAATTTTCCCCCTTTGTAGAATTTTCAATATGCTTTTATTATCAATTAAAGGCTCATAATCACAATCGAAACTCTTCAAGTTATCAAATACCGAGTGATTATTATCATCTTTTGAAAAAGATGAAGGTGCTGACGATGACGACGATGATAAAGAATAATTACAAGTAGTCGTTAAATCCTCGGTATGATAATAACTTTTAAAACTATCATCATTAAAATCTTCATTTTTGCTGCCATGATTATGATTATTGTCGGAACTATTGTGATTTTTGAAACGATATTCACGATTATAAATTGCCTTTGTACCCCAAGGGGTATTTATAGTGTCAGTTAAATCATGAGGTATAGATAATAATATACGAGAAGCATAATATGAAGAAGTAAATATACTTATCACATTATCCCACCATTTATTTATTTCTAATTCAGTTGTCAGTTGCAAAGATGATTTGTAAATATTTGGAGATGAAAATGTGATTGGCTGATTTTGATGTCGCTGCTGATGCTGTTGTTGTGACAATGATGTTTGTGAAGGTTTTGCAGCAGCAGCAGCATCATGAGATGAGGGAGAAGAATCTGATTGTGGTTGATGATGCTGCTGCTGTTGATGTTGATGTTGATGTTGATAATTATTATTGTGGTATTGTCGATTATCTTTAAAATCGATAATTGACATATTTTCAGAGGTAGCAAGATTATGATTATGATCTGAATATTGATTATGATTACGATTTGATATTGGAGGCGTGGGCAACGAAGGTAGTAATGGTTTTGATGGAAAACTATGATTAGGATGAATGTTTTGTTGTTGTTGAAAATGCTGTTGCTGTTGTTGATTATAGTCTTTATGTGATTGATTTTGTGGTGTTTGAGATGAAACTTTGAGTTTTTGATTATGAATTTTATTATTGTTATTATAATTATTTTGAGAGTTTATTTGATTATTGTTATTTAAATTTATTTTTTGTGGTATTGAAGTATTTTCTCGCAATTGTTGATATAATAATTCTTGCCGATAAATATGTTCAGTGTAGTAATCTGTAATATTACTGTTTTGAATTGCATCGTCTGATTTATCAGGAGATGATGATGATGATGACGACGATGATGATGATGACGATGATGAAAGCGGTGATGTTGATGAAATATTACTTTCACAATAATTAAAATAATTATTATTATGCTGTTGTTGATGATTATTATTATAATGTTTTTTTTGTTGGTAACATCTTTGCTGTTGATTTTGCGAATTTCTATTATTACTATTATTAATGTAGTTAACGTTGTTACCACTCTCACTACCACTCTCACTACCACTATTACTACTAATATTGTGTGGCGGCATATGAAGTATAAATTCTGTTTGTTTCATATTCGTTATGTTTATATATATATATTATTATTTCGCGTTAACCAAATAAATAACAACCAAATAAATAAAAACCTTATAATAAATTAATAGTATTAGTGTTAATAATATTATATAACTCATGATATCATTGGTAATATATGCAACTTACCAAATAAATATTCCAAGTATGTATAATAAAAGATCTTTTATCGTAGCGTATTATTTTTTTTGTTAAAAAAAGAAGGATTATATTGAAAGGTTTGTTTCAAAACAAAATTGATTAGTGAAGCACATTAACAAATTTTGTTTTTCTTTCCTTTTTAATTTACAAAACTTACTTTAGGGATTAAGAGAAACACGCTATTTTTAAAAAGCTGGTTTTTCTAAAATTAGACAAAATTAGATGAATACTAATCAAAAAGATTTTTTTTTTTTGTTGAAATCTATTTACAAGATTTTTTTTCAATACGAAAAAAAAATTAAGAAAAATTTTATTATATATCATAAAATGAAAAAAATTAATTAAAATAGAAAGTATTTAAAAGGAAATTAGTAGTTTAGTATGTTATATAACTTGTAAAAAATTTAATTTTAAGATAGGTTTAGTTTTAAATGATAATAATTAATGTATATATGTTATGTATGTTATGTGTAAATCGCTCGATGTTGTCATTATGCATATAATATGTATAATGATGCTATTTTTATGTTTTAGTTGATTCTGAGTATCACAAGAAACACATCAATCTTTAATTAAATTCAAAATAATTATTTCTCCTATCTCGTTCGCACTAACTTCACATTCACACTCACCCACACACATTAAAATTTATTTATTTTTTTTTTTTCATTTCTCTATTGTTTCATTATCAATATCATCTATTTAACTAATTTCTAAAATTAATAACAATAAAATAACAATGATGGTGGTGATTAGCGATAGCGACGAAAATCTGATAATAATTAATAATTATTTATTATATATTCTATTGCATTCCATTATATTACGTTCCAGACATAAATTCTAAGATAGATTCCATAATCCCTAATATCAAGAAAGAAATACCAGATAATAATAATAATCAACACTAAGAAGAGAATTTCTGCTTGTTATGGTTGTTGACTTTTTTACACTAAACAAAATGTCATTGACGGATCACAAACCTGTGTCATTAACTGTAATTAAATTGCATGAAAAAATTTAAATGTTTTTTTACTTTCGTAATTCCCTTAAAATAAATTACGCAAAAACTTTTTTTTTTAATCACGAGACTAATAAATTCCAAGTTTAATATTAAATAACAATATAAATAATAAATAATAAAATTTATAATACTAATATGCGTATTTCAAGTTATTTTTTATTGATCGATATATTTGCCGTCTAATAAATATAATAAATATAATAATAATAATAATAAATAAGTAAATATAAATAATAATTATGATTATAATCAAGAAAAGGAAAGTATTACATAATTATCATTATATAAATAAACGGACTAATAGCGTGTAATATTATATAATGCATATATACTATTAATTCATTCGCGTAATAAATAATTATAATAATAAAGAATCTAAAAAATATATCCTAGTAACGCGTATATATATAATATTGTAAATATTTGTAAATACGTAACGTATGTCCGTACATTCATCACGTTCATCATACATATTGGTGGGATTAAAAAATTTTCCTTTTAAGTTGGTTTTTTTATTTTATTCATACGGCGTCACAGTTTGTATTCACAAGATATTTATTATCTTTGTGTGACTTTATGACATCATCAACATTAAAAGATCTACTGTCAATTCATTATTAAAAAGTGAACGGAGACTGTATAGCGCAGCCCCCTTTTGTAATTTATCAAGTGTTGTTGGGTTATACAATGATGACATGCATGATGGCGAGATTCAGAAAATTGTACTGTTCTTTAAAAGGTTATCTCCAAAAAACAATTGAACAAATACGTGTGGAAATAAATTTATATATTTATTTTGGGGGGTTTTTTTTTTGAGAAGCTATTTTTTTGAAAAAAATACGCGAAAAAATTTTTATAATAATATATGCAAAATAATTAATGTAATTTTTAAAATAAATAGAATGCATGCAATCTGTTTCTTTATAGTTCTAATGGAACAGATTCACAATCAGAGCATAACCACGGCTGATCTGATGAATATCGAGTAAGTCCTACGCATTCACGATGATACCACTCAATTTTACACTAATAGTATAATTGGATGGTGACAATGAGTAACAATCAATCAATCAATCAATCAATCAATTAATCAATTAATCAATCAATCAATCAGTTAACTTACTTTTGGATGATTACACCAAACCATATTTCCAAATTCTGGCTGTACAATTTTAAAAAATTTAGATTTATAATTTTTGCAACATAATAATAATAATAATAATAATTGTTGTAAATTTTCTCTTACTCGTTTACAATAACAATACAAAGGTTGGTCAGGACTGAATTGAAGAATTGGATCATCACTAATATAACTCCTAATTAATATATAATAATAATAATAATAATAATAATAATACAACAACAATGAACTTGAATAATAATAATATTGATTTACCCTTTTAAATATCAATAATCATTATTATCAAATAAAGAAGGAAAATGAATTAATGTCATAGAATAATTAAAAATTAACAGTTGTAAATGTGTTTTATATCAAATACCTAAAGTTATATCATTCCTGGATAATTCATTATCAAATCGTTGAGCATGTCTAGAAATCTGGAAATACAAATAAATATAAATACAAATATATATATATATATATATTATCGTAAATACTTTAATAACAAACTATCACTACCAAATCTTCTACTTTGTCAATTAATGCTAATTTTTCATCTTGTATTTTAGTTGCTTGGTCTAATGCTTGCTAATGATAACAATATCTTTATGAGTTTTTTGAAATTTACGTGTTGTAACAAGATCAGGGATTGGTTGATATTATTACATTTTATATGTAAATTTTTTTCGAATAATAACCATAAAAAAAAAAAAAAGAGTAAATAAATGCCTCTACTAAGCCTTTTAAAAGCCTCGATTTTTCTTCACCGATTTGATTAGTTTTTTCCAAATAATCAAAATAATTTTTTTTACTTTTTTTATATTTTTTTATAAAGCCTGTTTGTTTATTTTATTTGAAAAAAAAATTTAATAAATTATCATCATCATAATTATTTAACATAATAATAATTTCAAACATTCCATTCACACATTATTATTATATAAATATATTTATATATTACGTTCACATTGTACGTCTAGAGTTCTTAATTCATTTAAATGGTGTGTAATTTCCGAAGGTAAATTATATACAGCTTTAGAAAAGAAAGAAAAAAAATCGGGATCATTATAAAATGTAGTGTGAATGTATATATACGTTATAATAATAATAACAACAACTTACAATCTATATAATCTTCAAGAACTTCGGATGCTGATCTAAGTCCTGGTGTATTGTTGTTGTTATTGTTGTTATCGCTGTTGTTACGAATGTTTTGCATTTCATTCATTTCGATAGAAATTATTTTATTATTCTAAAAAATTAAAAATATAAAGTGTTTATTTATATAGGAAACAAGAAGGAGGTTTATTAAAAAGTTATTTTTTGAACACAAAAGTAAAAAAAGCAAGAAACCACATGTATCTACCGTTAAACTCAAAAAGTCATCATTCTAGATTAAGTAAAATTAAAAGATGAATCAAAAAGAGCTCAATTTTTAAGAAATTTGTGTGAATCGTGCAGAACATGAAATGTTTTCTTAATGTTTCGACCATTTTACTTGTTAAAACATCCATCATCAAATTTTTATGTGTGATGGATATATTTCTATATAAATATGTGTGTTCATGTGATTAAATTCAATTCCTTTCTTTTTTTTTTACGATTAACAAAATGTCTTCTTCCATTTCTTCTTCAAAACAGTGGTATGTAATATAGATTAACAGAGCCATGTAAATAAATAAACAACTTCAGTATTATATTCGTATTCATGCATAATTATTTTATTTATTATTATTATTAATTAGGAGAGAATTCAATTTTTTTGATGTTCAGCAAATTAAAGATCCAAACAATACAAATGCAACTCCTGCTATTTTTCAAGTAATCATTATATTAAACCTTATCAATTTCTTCTAACTTTACAAAGTCTCAAGTCTATTATTTGCTGCCTTTTTAAAAACACAGAAACCAGATATTACATCGAGCACTAGTGGTCGTGGAAACATTATTTTAGCTGATATCCTTAAATCGTCATCATTTGAATTCAATTCAAATTTTCAATTTAAATAAATAATATCTTTAATTTGACAGGAATATTCATATCCAATTATTATTATAATAATTACACTCTTCAGGATATGTACATGTTGTAGACAAATCATTTAATGTACAATCTTTCTTAGCATATGATGGAGGAAGAATCACACATATGAAACAAATTAAACAAAAGAATATCTTAGTAACAATTGGCGTATGTGTCGCAAATGTTTCCTCATATTATATGACAACAGTGGCAAATCAATCTAACCACTTTAAATATTAATTTAATTAATTAGGATGATGATCCTCCTGCTATTAAAATATGGGATCTTGACAAGCAAGATAAATCTAAAGGAACTCCTGCATGTCAACGAACAATTAAAGTTAATCATGGTGGTAAACCTTTTCCTGTATCAACGTTTGCTGTACTAGATAATCTGGGTCAAATTGCTGTTGGTTTGGCCAATGGTGTGGTTGTGTTGATTAAAGGTGATTTGTATAGAGATCGTCATACAAGACAAAAAGTAATACATGAAAGTGAAGAACCTGTCACAGGTAATAAATAATAATAATAATAATAACTATAATAATAATAATTAATTACTTATTAATTGTGCAAGTATTTTTATTTCTTTGATATTAACAGGGCTTGGGTTTAGAGAACATTGGAAATCAATTATTTTATTCATTGTTACTACAAATAAGATTCTAACTTATGTAACAACCAGTAAATTACCACCTGTATGCCTTGCTTTTTATTATTATTAATTAGTTAATTTGATAATTTGAAGATATTTTAATAATAATGATATTATCATTATTATTCCCTTATTTTAGACTATTCTTGATGATCAAGGCTGTGGTTTAAATTGTGCTGTAATGAGCGATACCACACATGAAATGGTTGTTGCTAAAGATGAGGTAAATTATATCTCAAATGGATTTTATTTTATGTGCGTTTTTTATATATGATTAATATTTCATACTTGTATTTGCAAAAAAAATTTTTAGGCAATTTATTTCTATGGACCTGATGGACGTGGATCTTGTTTTGCTTATGATGGTAAATCGATGATTTGATTAATATCTACATAAAGATATATATATATGAAACATACATAAATAAATTTATAACGTACATAAATAAATATATAGGTGTCAAAACATCAGTTACTTGGTTCAAATCATATTTGATAATCGTTGCACCTCCAGTTTCTCAACCAACCAGACTTACAACTACCACACGATCGGCTTTATCAATACTCCCAGGAAGTTCTCAACATCACCAGCAGCAGCAACAATCATCTTCAACGCTTTATGAATTAACAAAAGTAACTATCTTTGACACTGCAAATAAAGTTATTGCATACATGGGAACTTTTTCATATGGTGTCAGAACAATTACTTGTGAGTGGGGCGGTATTTATATCCTTGGAATGGATTCAAAGGTTTTTTGTTATTTTTAATTTTTAATTTTTAATTTTTAAACAAAATAATTATAATTATAGTTGTAATTATTATTTATTTAGTTGTTCCGTCTTGAAGAAAAAGATACTCCAACTAAATTGGAAATATTATTCAAAAAAAACTTGTATTTATTAGCCATTAATCTTGCACATAGTCAAAAATATGACGATACCAGTATTTCAGAAATTTTTAAAAAATACGGTGATCATTTATACAAGTAAATAGTTTTTTTTATTTTAGTACCAGTAATAATAATAACATTATTATTAATTATAATATATAATTTGCATTTATATTTATATTTAAATCTACATTTTATAAATGCAATAAAAAACGTAGGAGACGTAGTTCCTCAAGAAATTTCTCGGACGCAAATTTTGCCACAAAAAATAAAAATATTAATAAAGATTGTGATGGTAAGGACTCATCTATAACATGCTGTGACGACGTCAATCACAACAATGACAATAACAACAAGAATAATAACAAACGTTGTAATAGCAGTAATATAAAATATTCATCGTCACCATCGTCATCTAATAAAAATAATAAGATCCCACATTTAATAATACCTAACACAAAGATGCTTCGTATGATTGTTGATCTGACGCCAAATGTTGTTTATACTCTTACACCTGGAACAGGTGATTGTACATGGGTTAATATGCGACTGTTGAAATATACTGGTAAGCGTATCGATAGTTTGCTAGGTCATGGTTGGATAGAGGTGGTACATCAAGACGATAGATCGTCGGTATGGGAAATGTGGAATAGAACATTTTCAAGAGGTGAAGGCTCTAGTGCCGAGTATCGTATACGTAGATTCGATGGACAGTATCGCTGGTTCTTGGGTCGTGCTGGTCCGTTAAGAGATGCTAGAGGTGTCAACATTCGTTGGTTTGGAACTTGTACCGATGTGCACGATCAAAAATTATCCGAGAAACTACAAAGTCGTCAGATACACATCGAGGCTAATGAGAAAAAGTATCGTTTGTTGGCTGATGCTATACCACAAATAGTTTTCACTGCAACACCTAAAGAAGGTATCAATTATGTCAATAAGAAATGGATTGCTTATTCTGGTCAGACAGATGAACAGGCAAAGAATCTAGGATTTCTGTCACATGTTTTTCCAGAGGATAGAGTGCATTGTTGTTTGCCAGAGGTGAAGGATGCACTAGATGAGATTGGTCTTTCATACACCACTGAAGTTCGCTTGATGAACGCAGAAGGTGAATACAGATGGTTTTTGGTTAAGTGTATTAGTGTAGAAGTATCCGAACAAGGTAGAATATGGTTTGGCACTTGTACTGACATCAATGATCATAAATTGGTTGAACAGAAACTTCAAGAAGCTCATGATGCAGCTAAAAAATCAACTGAAAGCAAAACTCAATTCTTGTCTAATATGTCTCACGGTAAATATTCTATATAGGTATAATAAAAATAATTGCAAATAACTAATTTATATTTAATTAATTATCAAAAAAATTTTTAATTTACAAAAAAATCAAGAAATTCGAACACCACTTATAGGTATTACTGGCATGATAAATTTTATGCTGGCAACCAATTTAACAACAGAACAAATGGATTATGCACATACCATACAACAATCAGCAGACGCTTTATTATTAGTGATAAATGATATATTGGATTTGAGTAAGGTGGAAGCAGGGATGATGAAATTGGAGATGGAACCTTTTTTAGTTCGTGATATGATCGATGATACCAATGAGTTGCTTTCTACGTTGGCAATTCAAAAGGGATTGGAGTTGAGCTTTATTGTTGAAGAGAATGTTCCTGAGGTTGTTTGCGGTGATAGAATAAGATTACGTCAAGTATTATTGAATATTATTGGCGTATGTATTCAATATTACATATTTATTATTGAGTTGATGATTGTTTTTTTTATCGAAAATTAAAAAAAAAATTTATTTTAAATGAATCAATAGAACGCGATCAAATTTACATCAAAAGGCGAAGTTTTTTCTAGATGTTCAGTAGAGTCGTTTTCAAAAACCGATGATGGTAAAAATGAAGTGATGTTATTGTTCGAAGTTATTGATACTGGCGAGGGTTTTGATGCTATGGCAGAAGCAGTTATGTTTAAACCATTTTCGCAAGTTGATACTTCGTCAACTCGAAAACATGATGGTAGTGGATTAGGTTTAGTGATATCGATGCAACTTGTTGAGTTACATGGCGGCAAATTATACTGTAAGAGTCAAAAGGGTGTTGGCTCAGCCTTTTACTTTACTGCAAAATTTACAATACCACCTGACTCGACCATGCCACGTCCACAAACCCCAACATCCGAAGTATCAAATTCACCATTTTTCCGCTGTAGTAAGGTTTCAGTCCAAGTCTCATCTAAACATAGTTCGGACAGCATAATTACGCCACCCTCATCAGGAAATTCTTTACCATCATTTAATAATATCGTTAATGGTTGTAATAATCGTGGAATAGGAAAGAATATAATACCATCTAATTCATCATCGCCATTAATACAAATTCCTAAAAATAATATTGCATTGCCTATAAATATGGCCGATAATACTAATTGTACTACTACTAATAATAATGATTTTACCACCGTTGCTCCATTAACATCATCGAATGCATTAAAGCTTGTTAAGCCAACAACAATTGATTTACCTCGTACTAAATGTGTGCTTATTGTTGCCGACTTATCAAATTCTCGTAAAGCCATAGTTCATTATGTTTGTTCGATTCTTCCAAAAACACCTGTACCCGAGATTGACATTGCTAATGATTACGCCGAAGCTTATGAAAAAATCAGCAATTTAAAATTTTATTCGCACATTTTGATAAATTTAGTTTCACAATCACACGTGATCTCACTTGCATCAACCATCAAACATTCAAATCACTTATCACTAACAGCGACTGTGATCTTAACTACACAGATACAACGTGCTGGTATAGTTGAAGGGGCACAAGGTGAATTTCCAGAACATGTTGATTTTATTTTCAAGCCATTGAACAGGAGTAAAATGGAGGGGTTGTTTGATGATACGACCACTTTCAGAGATAGTTTCTTGAAGAGAAGAAACACACATAAGGTTGTTGCTAGTCAAAAAGAAGTTTTTCAAAGAATGGCTGAAGATGTTGGCGATCGAGGATATAAAGTTTTATTGGTAGAAGACAATTTTGTAAATCAAAAAGGTTGTTTTCTTCATCCAAACATTCAAACATTAAGATTTTTCAATTATCACATTTATTTTCTTATTTATTTATAATTTATTTATTTTTTTAATAGTTATAACAAAATATCTTACAAAGGTAGGATTAGAAGTAACTGTAGCTGTTAATGGTGATCAATGTTTAGAACAATTTTTTTCGCATCCTCATAATTATTTTTCTTTTATTTTGGTAAGAAATTTTAATTTTGTTTTATATCTCAATTATATTGTTGTTATGTGGGTTTTTATTAATTCAATTTTAATATATTGTTTATTTAAAAAGTGTGATCTGTTTATGCCCAAAAAAGGTACGTATAAATAGATCATGTGATTAAAATAATTGCATAATTTTAACTCTATTTATTAATAAATAATAAATAGATGGTTATGAAACAACGATCGAGATTAGAAAATGGGAAGCTGAAAATTTAAAAGATTTAGATGACGACACACCAATCCCAATAATAGCATTGTCAGCAAATGTAATGTCCGATGTTGTTTCAAGATGCTTAAAAGTAGGATTTACAGATTATGTCAGCAAACCTGTAAATTTTGCAATTCTAAGTAATGTAATAAGAAGCATATTGAAACTTGATAACAAAAATGTAACAACTAAATAACGAAAATAGAGGTGAAAGTGATGAACCTTTTGTTGTTGTAATTAATTTTTTTGCATACACTTTACGCGCAAGAAATCTCACCTTTTTTTTACTACATATTTTTACAAACATACCTAATTATTATAATCATTTTATTATAAATATATTTATCGTTTTGTGTTTTTATAACACTAACATATATTATTATTATAAAATCATTACATGCATCCAACATCATATACACGTCATACAAACGCATTAAAATATTTATTTTTCAAAAAAAAAAGACATCTTTTCAATCAATTATATATATAATACACCTTTAGAAATCAATTACATTATTTAAATAGATGTTTAATTTTTAAAAAAAATTTATGTATAAATAATGATAATAAAAATAAATCCGATCAATTCATTTTTAGTGAAATTGTTTGTTTCTTTTTTTTGGGAAACATGAAATGTAAATAAATAATTTATCACATCTCCAAGGCACCATTTTTAATAGCTTCTTCCACTTCTTTAACTTCATCCTCCATAATTTTACTTCTCCTCAATGCTTTCTTTGCTTCATCCAATTTACCTGCTTTTTTAAAAAACAATGCTAATTTCTTGCAATTAACAATACTTGCTTTTACTCTTTCAATATATTCAGCCATGGTTAATTCATTTGTTTGTACAGATATTAACAATAAATTCATTTTGATTTCTAATTCATTTTGCCTATCTAACAAATCCTCTGGTATTGGTTTCCTTTGTGCTTCCAATGTAGTTATCTGATTGGTGATAAGTTCAATCTCATTTTGAAGAACTAGATTAGACGCAATATTTTCAACACTAAAATAGTAAAAGAAAGAGAAAGAATGTGTTCCTTTAGTATCATAAAATTTTTTTTGTTTTAATTATTAGAAAGAAATAAAAAAATTGCCTATTAAGTTGTTCTTCTGCTTGTTCTAACTCATCCTTTCCTGTATCTGATATTTGAGTAACACGATTTGATTTTTGTGGTGTTGTTGAAGGTGCTTGTTTTTCGATGGTTGTTGCTTTTTGTTGTAAATTAGCATCAGTGACTGCGGAAGTTTTAGCAGTTGCTTCAATTTTAATATTTTCAGTATTACTAATAGCTTCAGTATTACTTGTGATGAGAGATTGGGAGACATTTTGTTCTTTTGTTTTTGAAGAACTCGCCACAGATGCAGGAGGCGGTGATGATGATGACGTCGTTGGTTTTTTTGGGGGGGATGTAACTGAATCTGATTCAATAAAATTTTTTTGTTGTTGGCTTTCTGTAGAACTACTTGTTGTTGTTTCTGTCGTCGCTGTTGTTAAATCTTTTGTTTCCAATTGTGATTGTGATGAAACACTAAAAGTTGGGTTGACAGGTGTTGCATTAACTGTTGCTGCTGTTGCTGTCACTGCTGATGAGGAAGAAGATTTTGCTGGTGATGAAGATGTAGTAGATATAGATGAAGATGTTAAACTTGTGAAATCTTTGTTAAACTCATCAATTATGAGCCATTTTTCAGTTTTTGTTATAATTTCAGATTGAGAATACGGTGTTCTGAGACGTATACGTATTTCAAGCTTTCCACCTGTAGGTTTACGAACGTGATCCACAAGCTGAAGTATTTTAATAAAAAAACTTAATACTATTATTTCAAAAAGTTTGTATCGTCAATTAAATGTTAAAACATTAACTTATATATTAGAATTCAACCTCAAGTACATCATGTATTTCAGATTTTTTAAGTAATGTATCCAATTTAATAGTTGCTTTTCCAAGCGAAATTGATTTTCGTAAGAAGCCTTTGTAATGAAATACTTCAAATGTTGCTTTTTTTCGTTCCAAATATCTTTGAAATGGTCTTGAACGAACGATATCGATTCTTTTTTTAAAGTTAAATTCTTGAGTATTATATATATGTATATGTATTAATGTTTTTAAAAGAAATTTAATGATAGATTATTTAATATAGTGCAATTATCATACCTGGATTCATTCCACGATCAGAAGTAGAGGTATCACCCTTCCCACTTCCCGCTCCAGGACTACCTTCTGGTGGCCATGCGACATTCCAATTGACATAAGCAACAACATCATTACCATTTACTTCCTTATTTCCTAAATTCCAAGCTCTTTCAATGCAAATTTCCATATCATTTGCAGCCAATTCCGGGAAAATGTTTTCTATCTCATAACTAACTTCTTGATAATGAAAAGCAGGGACATCTTTATCGTGGTTACTATATGAAACCAACGAGTTTAAATCTGCTTTAAAAGAATTTTTATATCGAAGATAAAGAGCAGCTTGTTTTTTATTTCCAGATTTTAAATAATGAGCTGCAATAGTATGACACAAAGAACTTTGCGCTTCAAGTTGTGTTTGTAAATGAGAGTACTGTTCTTTTTTTGACATTTGCGTGATCATTATTTTCTTTATTATTATTTTTCAAAGATAAAAATTACGTCATCGTCAACATTGTAATACAATTTAGCTAAAAGGCATCAATTGCTGCGCCGCGCGCAATCCAAAAATAGTAATAGCGATGATGTTCTTTGAGTGTCACGATATTATAAAATCACATGACTCAAGCATTTGTCGTTACTATTACATTGAAAGTTTATTTGAATAAAACGAATAATAAAAGAATAATCCGAATAAAATAAATAACTAATAATTCGAATAAAACGAATAAAACTAAAAAACGAATAATTCGAAACTCTAATATTCATTCGGAGCATCGAAATATTTATTTAATGATTAAAGAGTTGTTAGATAATAAAAAAATTACATATATAAATAGGGATGTTAACAGTCTGAACCATGGACCGAGTCGGTCTGGTCTTAGGTATCAAAGACCATTTAAATGTTGAATTTTTTTTATCATAAAGCATTTATTTCAATTTTATTTGTTAAAAATATTATTTTATTATCATTACTCAATACCGAATTATTAATATATTCAAAAAAAAAAAAGAACATATGGGGACTGTTCTAGGAAAACACGGGTTAGAGCTCCCAGATTCAAAAATGAGAAATTTATACCAAATTAATCTATA